CTGTACTTCTTTCAAGACAGATTTGTTCATTCTTCTGGCAGTCCATGGTATATTCAATATTCTTTGGCAACACCATAATTCAAAGGTGTCAATTCTTCTTCAGTCTTCTTTATTCATTGTCCAGCTTTTGCATGTGTATGGGGTGATTGAAAATACCATGGCTTGGGTCAGGCACACCTTAGTCCTCAAAGTGACATCCTTGCTTTTCAACCCTTTAAAGAGGTCTTTTGCAGCAGATTTGCCCATGGCAATACGTCATCTGATTTCTTGACTGCTGCTTCCATGGGGTTTGATTGTTAATCTAAGTGAAATGAAATCTTTGACAACTTCAATCTTTTCTCCACTTATCATGATGTTGCTTACTGGCCCAGTTGTGAGGATTTTTGTTTTCTTTATGTTATGGTGCAGTCCATACTGAAGGCTGTAGTCTTTGATCTTCATCAGTAAGTGCTTCAAGTCCTCTTCACTTTCAGCAAGCAAGGTTGTGTCATCTGCATAACGCAGGTTGTTAATGAATCTTCCTCCAATCCTGATGCACTGTTCTTCTTCATATAGTCCAGCTTCTTGGATATTTGCTTAGCATACAGATTGAATAAGTGTGGTGAAAGGATATAGCACTGACACACACCTTTTCTGACTTTAAGCCACACAGCCTCTTGGTCTATGTACAGGTTCCTCATGAGCACAACTAAGTGTTCTGGAATTCCCATTCTTCTCAATGTTATCCATAATTTGTTATGATCCACACAGTTGAATGCCTTTGCATAGTCAATAAAACACAGGTAGATGTATTTCTGGTATTCTCTGCTTTCAGCCAAGATCCGTCTGACATCGGCTATGATATCCCTAGTTCCACGTCCTCTTTTGAATCTTGCTTGAACTTCTGGCAGTTCCCCTTCCTGTTGCAACCGCTTTTGAATGATATTCAGCAAAATTTTACTTGTGTGTGATATTACTGATATTGTTTGATAATTTCTGCATTTTGTTGGATCACCTTTCTTTGGAATGGGCACAAATATGGATCTCTTCCAGTTGGTTGGCCAGGTTGCTGTCTTCCAAATTTCTTGATGTAGCTGAGTGAACACCTCCAGTGCTGCATCTGTTTGTTGAAACATCTCAATCGGTATTCTGTCAATTCCTGAAGCTTTGTTTTTTTGTCAATGCCTTCAGTGCAGCTTGGACTTCTTCCTTCAGTACCATTAGTTGTTGATCATATGCTACCTCCTGAAATGGTTGAACAGTGACCAAATCTTTCTGGTACGGTGACTCTTTGTATTCCTTCCTTCTTCTTTTGATACTTCCTGTGTCATTCAATATTTTTCCCATAGAATCCTTCAGTATTACAACTGAAGGCTTGAATTTTTTCTTCAGTTCTTTCAGCTTGAGAAATGCCGAGCGTATTCTTCTCTTTTGGTTTTCTAACTCCGGGTTTTTGCACATTTCATTATAATGCTTTACTTTGCCTTCTCAAGCTACCCTTTGAAATCTTCTGTTCAGCTCTTTTACTTCCTTATTTCTTCCTTTTGCTTTAGCTGCTCTAAGTTCAAGAGAAATTCAGAGTCTCTTCTGACATTCATTTTGGTCCTTTCTTTCTTTCCTGTCTTTTAAATGGCCTTTTGCTTTCTTCATGTATGATGTCCTTGATGTCATTCCACAACTCGTCTGGTCTTCAGTCATTAGTGTTCAATGCATCAAATCTATTCCTGCGATGGTCTCTAAATTCAGGTGGAATATACTCAAGGTCATATTTTTGCTCATGTGGACTTGCTCTAATTTTCTTCAGCTTCAACTTGAACTTGCATATGAGCAATTGATGGTCTGTTCTGCAGTCGGCCCCTGGCCTTGTTCTGATTGATGATATTGAGCTTCTCCATCCTCTCTTTCCACAGATGTAGTCAATTTGATTCCTGTGTATTCCATCTGGCGAGGTCCACATGTATAGTTGTCATTTATGTTGTTGAGAAAGGGTATTTGCAATGAATAAGTCATTGGTTTTGCAAAATTCTATCCTGCGATCTCTGGCGTTGTTTCTATTACCCAGGCCATATTTTCCAACTACTGGTGCTTCTACTTCGTTTCCAACTTTTGCATTTCAATCACCAGTAATTATCAGTGCATCCTGATTGCATGTTCGATCAATTTCAGACTGCAGAAGTTGGTAAAAAACTTCAGTTTATTCATCTTTGGCTTTAGTGGTTGGTGCGTAAATTTGAATAATAGTCTCTTCAAGGAAATCTAGGCTTTCACTATTAGGCACTTTAAAACTCTTCCAGCCTCTGTCCATTCACAATTTCAAAACCGCTTCCACATTTTAGGTGTCATTTAGAGCATCACCCCACTCTTAGTACCAAATTCTGTCTTTGTTATCTAGTGCTGCTATAATAAAAATACCACAAGTGGATGGCTTCAACAAACAGAAGTTCATTCTCTCACTGTTTTAGGAGGCTAGAAGTCCGAGTTCAGTGTGCCAGCTCCAGGGGAAGTCTTTCTGTCTGTGTTGGCTCTGGAGGAAGGTCCTGTCAGCAATCTTCCCCTGGTTGAGGAGCTTCTCAGTGCAGGGACCCCAGGTCTAAAAGACATGCTATGCTCCCAGCACTCTTTCTTGGTGATATGATGTCCCCATGCCTCTCTGCTTGCTTCTCTCTTTTATATCTCGGAAGAGATTGACTTAAGACACAACCTAATCTTGTAGGTTGAGTCCTGCCTCATTAACAAAACTGTTGCTCAATCCCACCTCATTAACATCATAAAGGTAGGATTTATAACACATAGGAAAATTACATCAGATGACAAAATGGTGGACAATCACACAATTCTGGGAATCATAGCCTAGCCAAGCTGACAGATATTTTGGGGAGACACAATTCAATCCATGACAATGCCTTTTATCACATTGAGGGCGTTCCCACTATTCCTAGTTTTTTTTTTTTTTTTTTTTTTAAAGCATATATAAGACAATTAAAGTCTTTGTCTAGTAAGTCTAATGTCTGGGCTTCTTCACGGATAGTGTCTGCTAATTTCTCCTGTGAACGGACCATACTTTCTTTGTATGCCTTGTAATTTTTTGTTGAAAACTGAACATTTTGAATAATATAATGTGGCAACTCAGAAAATCTGCTTCTTCCCCACCCCCAGGATTTGATGTTACCAATTTTTGTGGGTTGTTGGTGTTTGTTTAGTGGCTTTTCTAAACTACTTTTGTAAAGGCTGTATTCCTTGTCATGTGTGGTTGGTCCCCAAGTCTCTGTTCCATTAGCTTAGTTATCAGCTAGTGATTTGGCATGATTTCCTTAAACATCTGGAGCCAGTAAACAAAAACCAAAACAAACAAACCTCAAAACAAAAACTAATACTCTCCCAGTCTTTGCAGACTGGCTCTGTGTTGGGGCACTTCTTCAATGCTTAGCTGGGTCATTTACAACTCTATCTTAGCCTTTATGTCCTGTCTGTGGAAAGCCTAAAAGTCAGACACAGGTGAATCTTAAGGTATTCTCAGCTCTTTTCTGAGCATGTATCTAGCCCTGGAAATATGCATGGCCTTCTAGATGCCCTGGTGTACACATGGGAGCTTTTCAAAGCCCTTATTCCCAGAAATATCTCCTTGTTAAGATTTCTTTCCCAGGTTTTCAGTCTGTCTATTGCTTGTCTCGACTGTTATCCATTGTCTCCAGTGACTTTGGCTAATACTTTTGCCTTTAAATGCTTTCAGCAAACACTACCTGGGAAGCTGCTTCTGCTATGGAGAAGCTCAGAGGCAGGCAAAGCAAAGGCAGGCTTTTGAGCTGATCCTTCAGTGAGCGTCCAGACAGGTTCAAACACGCAAGCACAATTCTTTGAAAATAAGGTCCTAATTGCTTCCTCTGGTATTAGCAACCTGCACCAGGAGTGCAGGCTGCTGTCTTCATGCTTGCAGCTGAGCAGGGGAGTGGGGGAATGGTAAATGCATAAGTTAGAGTGCCACAGTGCTCTCTTACTAAAATCCAGCAGTTTCTTTCTTCATTAAGCATTCCTGTGGTTGTTGTACATTTTTTATTAGATTCTAGAGTTCCAAAAAAGTTAATTCTGACAGTTTTTGTCAGCTTATTCATTGCTTTTGTGGAGAGTTGGAGTTTGGAGTACCATACACTCTCATTTTTGTTGACATTTTCAGCTACTTCTTGAACTGTCTTATAACCTCTGGTGTCTTTCTTCTTCTTCTTCTTCTTTTTTTTTTTTTTTTGATTTTTATAGTGCTTTAGGGGGAAGTTTGCAGAGCAAATTAGTTTCTCATTCAAAAATTTATACACAAATTGTTTTGTGACATTGGTTGCAATCCTCACAATGTATCAGCACTCTCCCCCTTTCCACCCTGAGTTCTCCGTTTCCATTCGTTCAGTTTTCCTGTCCCTTTCTACCTTCTCATCTTGCTTTTGGGAAAGTATTGCCCATTTGGTCTTGTATACTTGATTGATCTAAGAAGCACATTCCTCATGTGTGTTATCATTTGTTTTATAGACCTGTCTAATCTTTGGCTGAAAGGTGAACTTTGGGAGTGGCTTCAATTCTGAGTTAGTAGGGTGTCTGGGAGCCGTAGTCTTGGGGGTTCCTCCAGTCTCTGTCAGACCAGTAAGTCTAGTTTTTGGGTTTTTTTTTTGTGAATTTGAATTTTGTTCTGCATTTTTCTCCCACTCTGTCCAGGACCCTCCATTGTGATCCCTGTCAGAGCAGTTGGTGGTGGTAGCCAGGCACCATCTAGGTTTTCTGTGCTTAACCTCAGATGTCTTTCTAACTCCAAATATGCCCTCTGGCTTTTGACTCTAGCCCCACTTCTGACTTGTATCCCTGGTCTCTGAACCATCTGATTTCTGATATTTTCACCTGATGCTTGGTTTCTTCCGGATCCATCTACAAACATTACCTCACAATTGGCCTCTGATGGCCTCATTTCTTGTTTTATGACCTCTGACCCTATCTCTGCCCCAACCACTGTCTTTCTTTCCCTATCCCTGATCCCTCTCTGAACCTCACCCCAAATTCTGACCCTGTCCTCGACCCCTCTCTCTGTTTCTCCAGGGCTCCAATGCTGTGGCCTCAGCTCTTGGGGCCTCTTTACTGCTCCGAGTGCTGGCACGCATGGACTCTGAGGCTGAGGAGGCAGAGAGGAGGAAGGACCTGGCGGCCAAGTTTGAGGGGCTGGGTGTTGGTGCGTGGGGCAGGAGTGTTCGGGAGTGGGGACAGGGAGGCTGCCAGCCATGGGAGGGATGTGTGCATTTCTTCACTCTTCTCATGCCCATCCCCCTCCTGTTAAGTTTCCTCACCTCTCCCCATAATCCCGTCCCCGCTCCTTCTTTTCCCTCCCTTCACATAAATCCCCTGTCCTTAGGCCTCTTTGGCCAGTGCTACCGCAGCAATGAGAAATGGGCTGCCTGGCTACTCCTTCGCCGCTGTCCACTCTGGGGGAATGCCACCTGCCTCCAGCTTGCCATGCAGGCTGATGCCCGTACCTTCTTTGCCCAGGATGGGGTACAGGTGAGTATCCAAGACCCCAGAGACCCAGCCAATTCCCAACTGGACCTTGAGAACTATGGGGTATCAGCCCCTACCGTTATGGGAAGTTCATGGTCTTGGTCAACTCTTCCCTTTGGAGACCACCCCTTCTCCAGGAAGGCTTGTCCATCTTCCAGAAAGGCTGTTCTTCCCGTAAGAAGTTCCACCCCTGCCACAGGAAAACCAACCTTCCCACAGCAAAACCCACCCTCCTAAAAAGTTCTACTCCAATACAGGATAATAGGAAGTCACATCTCTCACACTGGAAGTTCTTCCCACTCCCACAGGAAATCCCATTCCTCCTGAAGGAAGTCCCTCTTCATCCACAGGAAGTCTGTCTCATTCTTTAAGAGGTCCCTAGTTCCAGTTCTCAACAATTAGAGTGACCTCAGTGGAGAATTATTTAGTGTTTTTGAACATACGCAAACTCTGTTTTAGGAAATTCCACCCTTCCTATAGTAAACCCTCTCCCTTGGGGAGTCCTGTTTGCTCCCACAGTCACTTCCATCCTGCCAACCCTGACATTTTGGAAACTTTCTCAATATTTTTAATCTTAATCTGTCAGGGACTCACCTACAGTAAATGAAGTTCTCCCCACCCCAACAGGAAGTCCTGCTTACCTCATCAGGAAGTTCCATCCTCACTTATTGGAATGATTTGACTGGCATTTCAGTTCCCAGAGTCCTTTGCTTTCAATAATGGTTAAACACATGGATTCCAGCTGGTTGTGTTTCTTTGGGCCACTTTCTTAACCTCCTTGTGCTTCAATTTCCTCATCTATGAAAAAGGAGAAAATACTAGTACTTATTTTCTTGGACATATGGTGAGGTTTACGTGGGCTAATCTATGCAAATTGCTTAACCCAGTATCTGATATATAGTGTCAATCAATGTTGGCTGTTTAACTCTACTAGCTCAAACCTGGGACAGGTTATCTTCCCCTTTGACCACCTCCTTCCCCCCTTGCAATTGGGTACTTGCTTTGTGTTCTGGAGCTGTGGCCCAACCCTTGCCCGGTGTCTTAGGGAGGGGACTGTGGGGGGAGATTCAGGCTCCTAATTTTGCCCACTCCCCACAGTCTCTGCTGACACAGAAGTGGTGGGGAGCAATGGACAGCACCACGCCTGTCTGGGCCCTGGTTCTCACCTTCTTTTGCCCCCCACTCATCTACACCAACCTCATCACCTTCAGGTCAGTCCCCTGGGGTTAGATTGGCAAGAAGTGGGTGCTCAGTTTCTCCTTCCTGATCACTTCTGCCCACCTTTCTCACTTGTTCTGTCCACTGCTCAGACTGGGGGGCGTGTTCTGGGAGGCAAGCTTTTTGGGGGGATTCTTTGTGGTGTCTCTAGGTGCAGTTCCTCTGACTCTCTGGCCTTGTCTCTTGGGAAAGGTCCCTTTGGGATGACTCTAGAGGGACATCTCTGTCTCTCTGACATGTCTCTAGGTGAAGAAGTATGGTTCTCTCTGGGGAATTCATCTCCTCTCCCCTCATTTCTCATTCTGTGCTTCCCTCCATGCTAGGAAGTCCAAAGAGGAGTCTTTACAGAAGGACCTGGAGCTTGACATGGATAAGGGCATTAACGGGGAAGGGCCTTTTGGGTGAGTAAGAGCTGGGTTCAGTGATGACCCCAGCACTGTACGAGATCGGAGCACCCTGGGCAGCTTTGGGAGCAACAGGGACGGGGAGCAAGGTCAGATATGTGAACTGGGGCTTTGATACATAGTGGCTTCATTGAGCCACTAAAGCTGCGAAGGTTTCCCAAATGCTTGGTTCTGCCAACCTCAAGGCTTGGTTCAAGGCTTGGTTCTGCCACCAAGGAGGTCATTATCGGAAATCAATTTGCTCATATTTGCCAAATTTACATAGAAAGTAGAATAGGATAGATTGGGTTCATTTGGGAATCTTTCATCTATTGTTTTTTCTGACTCCATTTCCCTTGCTCTGAACCACTATTTTGTGATACCAATGGAGGTGTTTTAAAAATCAAACCAAACCAAACTCACTGCTGTCGAGTTAATTCCGACTTATAGCGACCCTATAGAATAGAGTAGAACTGCCCCATAGGGTTTCCAAGGCTGTAATCTTTATAGGAGCAGACTGCCACATCTTTCTCCCACGGAGTGGCTGGTAGGTTTGAACTGCTGACCTTTCAGTTAGCAGCCAAATGCTTTAACCACTGTTCAACAAGGGCTCCATGTTTTAAAAATCACCCCTAAGAAAACAAAGTATTTATATTAAACTTCTGATCATGCCACATAGTGGAGGTGCTGATGGACTTGGCTCTGAGTCAGGCAGACCTGGGTTCAAATCCTGACTTTAATTTTGAAAGTGACTTCACCCCTGAGCCCCCCCTTTTTTTTAAAAAAAAAAAGGAAGGTAAATAATAGGTTTTACCTGTGTTAGTCAAGAAGCTGTGGTGACACAACTGTAAAGTGCTCAGCTGCTACCTGAAAGGTTGGTGGTTCAAACCCACCCACTGGCTCTGTGGGAGAAGGAGCTGGTGATCTCCTCCCGTAAAGATTACAGCCTAGAAAACTCTATGGGGCACTTCTACTCTGTCACATGGGGTTGCTCTGAGTCAGAATCTACTTGACGGCACGCAACAACAACATCAACCTGTTTTAGTCAGGTTTGGTTGGGTGATGCTACAATAACAAAGAATCCAAAAATTTCAGTGGCTTATAATAGGAAAGGTTTATTTCTCACTCATACTACGTTTGTGCATTGGCCGTGGGTCTCTTCCATGAGGTGTCAACTTGAGGGTGGGTAAGCAACCCCTGTCTGGGAAGTTGCTGGTCCCATGGCAGAGGGAAAAGAGACCTGGCGAATCATGCATTGGCTTTTAAAGCATCCAGATGGAAGTGACATTGTATGATTTTTGCCCACATTTCATTGGCAAAATCACACCCTGTGGCAACTCCTAAGTTCCTAATTCTCCCACAAGAAGGGGCATCACTGGGAGAGAACCAAAGTATTTGGTCAATGGTAATACAATCTACCATAATGCTGGGAGGAGTCACTGAGATAATGTGTATAAAATGCATATCATAGGGCCTGGCACATAGTAAGTGTTCAATTAATGGGGATTGTTGTTACTATTAATATATTTATTATTTATTTTGTTGAATGGTGTGTGTGTGTGTGTGTGAGGGTCTAATCTATAGTAATAAAGAAACAAAGGAAGAGGCCCAAATTTATTCCCATTTTAGCATCCTCCATCTCTACTTTAGCCAGTCCACGAATGAGGGAAGGGAGGAGCCTCACTCTCCAATATCCCAGAGGGAAAGATTTGCTTCTGATAACTGTTAGAAACATGATCAGATTGTCAGACGTCTGCAAAACCCACTACATACCTCATAAAACAAGTCAAATTTAAATATGTATATATATATATACATACATATATACATATATATATGTATGTATGTTTCTTTCTTAGAAAATGTACAAAGAATACAAAATATCTAAGATAGAAGAGAAAAACTAAAAAAAAAATTTTTTTGACCTGTGGAAAATGTTGAGTTGAAGGTCTTAGTGTCTGGCATTAGGATCAACAGTGGTGTCTTTGCCTAGTGATTTCCCAACTTTTGCACCGTATAATGATGATGATGATGATGGTAATGATGACAACAATAGCTGACATTAAAGAACATTAAATCCCTTTGAAAATTAATTCATTTAATTCTCTTAATAACCCTATGTGATTAGGGACTATTACTGTCTTCGTTTTGCAGATGAAATAGCTGAGGCATTAAGTCACTCTTCCATCCCCCCACAAGCCTTAGGCAACCACTAATCTACTTTCTGTCTCTTTAGATTTACCTATTTTGAATATTTCATATAAAGGAAATCCTATACTGTGTCATCTTGTGACTAGTTTCTTGGCATAATGTTTTCAAGGTTCATCCATATTGTAACAAATATCAGTATTTCATGCATTTTTATGGCTGAATAATACTCCATTATATGGATATACCACATTTTGTTTATTCACTCATAAGTTGATGAACACTTGGGTTGTTTCCAGTTACTGGCTATTATATTTCTGCTTGGTTTTTAAGGAGAGGATGCCTCTCCAAGCCAGGGCGCTTTTTCTGTTAACTTTTTGAATTCCTTATTATTAGTATAATTAATTTTAGTGTTTCTGGTTTGAGGTCAGAATCGAGTCAGGATAAAACTGGGACAGAGGATCATAACTCAGGTGAGATGGGTCAGAGATATGAGTGGCCCAGGAAGGTCGAAATTCAGACGTCAAACATAGTTGTATGGTCAGAGATCAGAAAGGGGGAAGGAAGATTATAGGAGAAAATTATTGTTATTGTTGGGTGCCACCAAGTTGCTTTTCAACTCATAGTGACCCCCTGTGACAGCGCAGAACTGTCCCATAGGGTTTTCTAGAAGAATAAACAAGTCTGTCTTGGAAAAAGTACAGCCAGAGTGCTCCTTGAAAGCGAGGATGGCTAGGCTTCGTCTCACTTACTTTGGCATGTTATCAGGAGGGACCAATCCCTGGAGAAGGACATCATGCTTGGTAAAGTAGAGAGTCAGCCAAAAGAGGAAGACCCTCAATGAGATGGATTGACACAGTGACTGCAACAATGAGCTCAAACATAGCAATGATTGTGAGGATGGCACAGAACTGGGCAGTGTTTCATTCTGTTGTACATAGGGTCACTATGAGTTGGAACTGACTCAACGGCACCTAACAACAACAACAACAACAACAATCTTTACGGGAGCAGATTGCCAGGCCTTTCTCCTGCAGAGGTGCTGGGTAGGCTGGAATCGCCAACCTTTTGGTTAACAGCTGATTGCTTTAACCACTGCACTTCCAGGGCTCCTTAGGAGAAAATTAGGCTGGATAATCTGATCAGAATTTGTGGGCCAGAGGTTAGTATTCAGGGACATTAGCTGTCAAACCTGAAGAGCTGAGCTCATGAAAGTAAGGGGGGGTCAGAGATCATATTTGGGGTTAGAGGTCAGGTAGATGGTCCGAGGTGAGTCATAGAGAGTCAGAGGTCATGAAAGAACAGGGACTCAGAGTCAAAAGCCAAATGGGTGTCAGAGGTCAGTGCAGGGGCCAGAGTTCATTATAGGGGTCAGAGGTCAGAAAGGTGGAGAAGTTCAGATGTGGAAGGTCAGCAGTCTTGATGGTGGGAGAATTCAGAGGTCAGGGTTAGTTGCCTTTGAGCTGATTCCAACTCATGGTGAACCCATGTGTGCAGAGTAGAATTGCTCCACAGGGTTTTCAAGGCTCCGACCTTTCGGAAGCAGATTACCAGGTCTGTCTTCTGAGGCAGCTCTGGGTGGATTCAAACCACTAACCTTTCAGCTAGTAGTTGAGCGCTTAACCGTGTGTACCACCTAGGGGCTCCAGGGGCTATGTACAAGGGTCAGAAGTCAAGGTGGAAAAGTTTAGATTTAGTATCATAGGTCAGGCAGGGTCAGAGGTTGTGAAGGTGGAGGAGGTCAGGTGTGGAAGGTTAGAAGTCTTGATCATGGTGAAGGTCAGAGTTCAGAGGTCAGTTTGAGACCTCCCTTCTCTCCCTCTATCCCCCAGGCCGACCAACCCCACAGAGAAGATGCCATTGAGGGCATCGAGGCAGCCCAGACACAGCGGCTGTTGTGGGGAGCCCTGCTGGCGTCAGTGCCTGCGCCGCTGGTCCCATTTCTGGGGGGCACCGGTGACGGCCTTCATGGGCAACGTGGTAAGCTACCTGCTCTTCCTGCTGCTCTTTGCCCGTGTGCTGCTCATTGACTTCCATCCTTCAACGATCAGCGCCTTCGAGCTGCTCCTGTACTTCTGGGCCTTCACCCTTCTCTGCGAGGAGTTCCGGCAGGGCCTGGGTGGCGGCTGGGGCAGCCTGTCCATCGGGGCACAGGGCCACGGCCACACCCCGCTGCGCCGCCGCCTGGGCCTCTACCTCGCTGACACCTGGAACCAGTGTGACCTGGCAGCCCTCACCTGCTTCCTCCTGGGCGTGGGCTGCCGGTGAGTGCCACAATGACCTTTGAATCCCTGGCCCAATGGCAGCCTCCAACCCTTCCTGCTCCTGGGTCTCAACTCTTGGATTGTCTGGGGTCGACAGCATTTAAAACCAATTCTGCAACTCTGCTTATTCTTAAAAATCAAACATAAGACCCCTCTTGATTGAAAAAAAACAAACCCTTTGCTGTTGGGTCAATTCTGGCTCGTGGCGACCCCATGTGTTACAGAGTAGAACTGGCCCATAGGGTTTTCTTGGCTGTAATCTTTATAGAAGCACATCACCAGGCCTTTCTTCTACAGAACTACTGGGTTGGCTTGAACTGCCAACTATTAGGCTAGTGTTGTTGTTAGTTGCTGTTGAGTCAATTCCTACTTATAGTGACCCCATGTAACAGAGTAGAATTGCCCCATAGGGTTTTCTTGGCTGTAATCTTTATGGAAGCAGAAGCAGATTGCCAGGTCTTTCTCTCAAAGAGCTGCTGGATGGTTTGAACCACCAACCTTTCGGTTAGCAGCCAAGCACTTAACCATTGTGCCACCAAGGCTCCTTTTTAGGGTAGTAGTCCAGTGCAAACTGTTTGCACCACCCAGGGACTTTCTCTTGATTGAAAGTGCCTAAAGGTTGTCTAAGAACAATTTGCTGCCACCTGGATATCCGGCTTTAGAGATGATAGGACTTACAGCAAGTGTGAAAAGGAGTTCCCCACTGTCGATCACCCAGCTTTTGCTGCTATTTGTTGCTAAGTCTGGAGGCTACCAGGTGTTTCTCAACCAGGTATTGACTGAGGTAAGGTAACCTCTGTGGGAGGCTTCTTGAAACAATTGAGGAAAATATTTGGTTTCTGTCCTATGTCCTTCTTCATTTGTTCAGTCTTGTTCAGTGAGGACATATTTTTGCATTTATTTGGTAATTTAAAAAAACAAAACACCTGTTGCCGTCAAGTCAATTCCAACTCATGGTGACCCCATGTCCTTCACAGTAGAACTGTGCTCCGTAGGGTTTTCAATAGCTGTGACCTTTTGGAAGCAGATCACCAGGGCTTTCTTCTGCAGCACTGCTGGGTGGGTTCAAAGCTTCAACCTCTCAGTAGCCGAGCGCTTAACCATTTGCACCACCCAGGGACTCCTACAACTTGATTAATTATTATTTGGGTTAAGTTTTACAACAAATATTTGATTTATCATTCATGTTTTTGTCCATATTGAATTTTGCTAAAGTCTAGTGTCTGGCTTGGTGAATTTTCCTCTGTGGCTGTTATTTCATGTCCATTTTTCCTGGGTCAAATTTCATAGATTCAGATTTCAGCAGGGAGGCTCCAATCTTTTGTCAACTTTTTAGTCTTTGATCTTTTTAAGCCTTGACGAAGTGCAGTCTCACCTGGTGTTGGTTATGTTTTCTTTAAAAAATTTTTTTTTTCAGTTTTTTTTTATTCCACTGACCAGTACCACATCTTATAAATTCATTAAAAGAAGTGTCGTTTCTGTTGATTTCTCAGCTAATACATTAAAAACAAATGATGAGGAATTCCCCTCAAATATTTTCTGTTGCCAGGACTGGGTTGTATAATGTTCATTTCTTCCACTGTCTCTAGAACATACTGTCTGGTACCTAGAGAAAGGGCAAATGGCAGGTCAAAATGTCCTTGGGGATAAATTCTCTTGTCTTTGGGTTTTAGCACATGCTATTCCACCCTCCTAGAACACTTTTCCCTCCTCTCCTATGCATGGCTAACTCCTACACTTCCTTCAAGCCTCAGCCTTACAGTCCCTACCTCTAGAAGCCTATCTTTATCCCCACCCAGTCCCAGACCCCCCTCTGTGCTCCCCCATCACCCTGAGATCTCTCACAATGTTGCTCTGACCCTGGATTGTGGCTGCCTCTCTCCTCATGCACGATTATAAACTCCTCAAGTCTCATTTGTCTCATCTTACAGCGACTTAAAATCTTTTAATTATAGTCTGTTACTAAATAAATGCAAAAATTTGTCCTGTTGAACAAAATAAAACAAATGAAGAAGGACACAGGACAGAAACCAAAGAATTTCCTCAATTGTTTCGAGTGTCCTCTCTTTCCCAAAGGTTACCTCATCAACAGTTTTGCACACATCCTGCTTTTTCTTTCTCTATGCATTTACACATAATTCTTTTTACACAAACAACAATATATTTTATGTATTTTCTGCAACTTTTTCTCCACAATATGTAGTGACATTCTTTCCATGTCAATATTTACAAATATACCTTATTTTTATTGAAAATGCTGTATCAGATTCAAGTTGAAGTGGTTTTAAGCATCAGTGGCTATTGATCAGATAAGACAGCCTCTGCTTTCCAGAATTTAATGAATGAATTCATTCTTTATAAGGCCTGTTAAAAACCCGTTGTCACTGAGTCGATTCCGACTCATAGCGACCAGTGAGATAAAAATTGTGAACTTCAAGGGGTAGAAATCAGTCTGAGAGTTTCTCCACAAAGTCTCTTTTATTTTCTACTGAAGATAATAATGTTATAATCAGATACTAGCTGCTCTGGTTCCAGTCCTTTGCCAATGAGGTTTCTTTCTTTTTTTTTCCCTTTTTTTAAGTCTGAGAAGTTAGGAATCCCTCCCTTTGAGGAGAGCAGACAAAGGTTTTTGTGGACACAAGTTGGTGACTATTTCCAAGGGAAAAGGGATCCACGCTTCCTTTTATAACCTGGATGATTGACAGTGGCTTCCCGTTCAAGCTTTCCTCAGTTGAGTCACTGAGAGGCCTACTTCCTGCTGTTTTAGAAATATTACAAAGTAGTTCCATGTGAACAATGTACAGGTAGTCCCCGACTTATGACGTATTTGAGTTATGAAGTACTGCACTTATAACTGTTTGGCTTACATAACATGCATATAACTGGAGAAGCAGGGAGGGCCAGTGTTGAAGCTGTAAGTTTGTATGTAATGTTTCCAACCCCCAAAGACAGATAAATATCGAATTTATAAAGATACTGATAATAAAAGGAAATAACAATGAAAACTAGAAAAAAAGAGGTATTTGACTTATGCCAGAACTGACTTATGACAGAGTCCTTGGTACAGAACCTTTTCGTAAATTGGGACTACCTGTGTTTAAACAAACAGAGTGAAAGAACTTTTGCAGTACATTAATGCTTCTGTTTATCCCTTATTTTGTATAAACTATCTTTTGAGACAAAAGGGCTAAGGCTATGTGCTACCGTGCTTTAGGAATGCAGTGATATGGTAGGCGTTTTATGAAACCCATCGTTTTCCAGGTGAAGGAGCAATTACTGCACGGGAAAAGTTCAAAGATCTCAGCTTGCAAGGGAGACATTTCCAATGATCTCCAGAATGGAATGGATGAATCGTACTGTATTTTGCCAATTTCCTGTGAATGGAAAGGTCCTTGGGTGGGGCACCTGGTTTGCCCTTGGCTGCCTGCTAACTGAAAAGTTGGCAGTTCAAACCCACCCAACAGTGCTGTGGAAGAAAAGCCTTGCAATCTGCTTCTGTAAAGATGACAGCCAAGAAAAGCCTATGGAGCAGTTCTACTCTGTAACACATGGGGGTTGCCATGAGTTGGAATTGAGTCAGAATTGACTCATTGGCAACACGTTTGGGTTTTTCTTCTTCAGTTCTCCGGATGGACACTTGCTTCTCATATTTTATTAAGTTGCTTTTCTTTGCTTATTGGTTTGCAGGAATTCTATATATTTTGCCTTTTATAGGTTGGGCAAATATTTCAGCAGTGTTTCCAACTCGATTCTTACGGGGACCTCTGGCTTTTTGCTAAGGCCGTCATTCACTGAGCTAGTATTTAAAGAGTGCCAGCTCCCTTCCCATCCCGACTTGGCACTGAGTAAACCTGAGTATACCCCAGTGAATCAGAGGGTCCAGGGTCCTGCTCTGTGGAGGCCACAGCCTCATCTGAAGCTTGGTGTTGGGATGGCTCCCGTTTTCCTTTGCATCCTGTGACCCTTGAGTGATGCCTCTTCATCTCCCCACACCCCAGGCTGACCCCGGGCCTGTATGAACTTGGCCGCACCATCTTCTGCCTCGACTTCATGGTCTTCACGGTGCGGCTGCTGCACATTTTCACAGTCAACAAACAGCTGGGGCCCAAGATCGTCATCGTGAACAAGATGGTGAGGGGCGGGGCCAGAGGAAGAAACGGGGCGGGGCCAGGGGTTAAGGACCTGGGTGGGTGTCAGATAGTGGTGGTGGGGCCGGGGGAGGGAGAGGTATGGGCTCTGGAAGAGAGGGGCAGACCTTTAGGATTCAGGGGCAGGGCCACAGTAGGGAAGAACATTGCCAAGGTCTGCTACATCTTCCTCTCCTGGCAGATGAAGGATGTGTTCTTCTTCCTCTTCTTCCTTGGTGTGTGGCTCGTTGCCTATGGGGTGGCCACGGAGGGGCTGCTAAGGCCCCAGGACCGGGACCTCCCAAATATCCTGCGCCGCGTCTTCTACAGGCCATACCTACAGATCTTTGGGCAGATACCCCAGGAAGAGATGGATGGTAAAGAGGGATGAGAGGACCTGATATCCTATCCTCCTTCTGAGTCTCTGTTCCCTTCCTCATGGGACTCTGTCCACCTTTCTCTGGGCCTTTGTCCTTCACTTCCTTTGGTCTCTGTCCCCCTTTGTCTCTGTCCCTGTCCCCCCAGCCCCCTGGATTTCTGTCTTCTTCAGGTCCCCATGTCTGAGTATCTCTCTTCACAGTGGCCCTCATGGAGCATGTCAACTGTTCGTTGGAACAGGGCTTCTGGGCACACCCATTGGAGACACACACGGGCTCCTGTGTCTCCATTTATGCCAACTGGCTGGTACTACTGCTCCTAGTCGTCTTCCTGCTCGTGGCCAACATCCTGCTGGTCAATCTGCTCATCGCAATGTTCAGGTAAGGCCTGACTGCCTTCTGAACTTCGTGACCCTTGATCCCAGCTTGACCCTTGACCCCATCATGATTCTTGAACCCAGCTCGCTCAATTCTGTCTTCAGTACTGAACTTCTGATGCAAATCCAACGTTGACTTGTCCCCATCCCCAGCCAGAACCTATTCCTGACTTGGACTTTGATCATCTCCCCGAACCCAGGCTGACACTTGAGCCTAACTCCAACCTGCACCCCAAGCCATGAGACCATCCCCAACTTGACCTTTGACATCTAACCCTTGACCCTCCAAACCTGACTTCTAACCCGTCCCGTAGTAACTTCTTACTTTATTGATCTTGACCCCTTCCCACTGCCTTGGACTTCGAACAGATACTGCCCGACATCTAACTATTATCCCCTGCCCCTGAACTCCGGTGACCCTTGACCTCTGGCTTCCGCAGCCACACGTTCGGCACAGTACAGGGCAACAGTGACCTCTACTGGAAGGCGCAGCGCTACAGCCTCATCCGAGAATTCCACTCTCGGCCTGCGCTGGCCCCGCCCTTCATCATCATTTCGCACGTGCGCCTCTTCATCCGTCGATTGCGCAGGCTCTGGACTAGGTTGCCGTACTCTCCGCAAGTCGAGCATTTCCGTGAGGGCGGGGCTTAGCCCAAACGGCGAAACTCAGCGGGCGGGGCCTAAACAGAAAGATGGGCATAGAACAGGGGGTGTTGACCTGAAGCACTTATGGGACTCATATAGGCGGGGCTTATACTTCCAGAGGGAAGGGCCTGTAATGTCAGGGGCGTGGTCTAGAAGCGCACAGGGGTGGGGCCTGGGAGAGAGCGCCCGGTGGGTTTTGGGTGAGGAGGATGGCCCTGGGAAGGGGCGTGGCCCGAGGCGGGGGCAGGCCTTAAGACCCCGTGCGGGACTGCGCCCTCCAGGGATCTACCTCTCGAAACAAGCCGAGCGGAGACTGTTGACATGGGAGTCGGTGCAGAAAGAGAATTTCCTCCTGGCGCGCGCGCGGGACAAACGGGAGAGCGACTCTGAGCGTCTGAAACGCACGTCGCAGAAGTGAGGGCGGGGCCTGAAGAGAGGAGGCAGGGGGTGGGGCTTAAAAACGTCGTGGGCGAAAGGCGGAGCTCCAGGGGGCGGGGCTTTCAAAGTGGGCGGGGCTGGTGGGCTGTGTGCACCGGCCTGACCCCTCCGTCCTTAGGGTGGACAGTGCGTTGAAGCAGCTGGGACAGATCCGCCAGTACGAGCAGCGTTTGAAAGGACTGGAACGGGAGGTGAGGGCCCTGGACCAGGTTGGGGGCATGTGGCAGGGGTGCCGGGAGGTGGGGTACCAGTCTCCTGCCCTGACTCCCGTTGGGCTCCCAGGTCCAGCACTGCAGTCGTGTACTGGCCTGGATGGCTGAGACCCTGAGCCACTCTCCGTTGCTGCCCCCAGGGAGGCCACCGCCCCCAGCCCCACCTGAACCCAAAGGTAAGTCCGTGGGGCTCTCCTGTGTATCTCCGGCCTCTGTCACTATCTGCGTCTGAGTCCTGCTTTCCGGGTCTCTGTTCTGTGTTTCTCTGTGCTCCACTGTCACTGTTCTTCCTTGTCCTTTGGTCGCTCGTCTTTTCTGTGCTTCTTTCTCTTTCTTTCTCCTTTTCTCCTTGTGAGTCTCCCACTTTCTCTTTGTGTCTCTCCTTCATTGCTTGCTCTTTTTCCTGTTTCCCCCCAGACTGAGCCCTGCTGGCAGACTTCAAAGAGTAGCCCCACAAGGGGTTATCATCCCAGGATAACAGCCCAGCCAGGCCTCGCCCCCTGCACCTGGCCTTGTCCTTGAGGAGGGCCAACGCCAATGGACCACCACCTGGGCTGCTGTTGGGACCATGGAGAGGAGTGTCATCTATATGGACCACACTAGGCCCCAGTCCTCCAAGAACCAGCCCCACTCTGGGAGGATCAGCCTCTGAAGCCCGGGCCACTGCTCCTCTGAGGGCCCTGATGCAGCTGGCTGGGCTGGGGAGTCCTTGAGGTACAGGGACCACAGACTCTACTCATAGCTCCCCACACTGGGGAAATAAAGCCATTTCAGATGAGTAGGGTCTGGATGCTTGATTTTGGGGGAACTGGGGAGTGTGTGGAGCTCTGGTGGTGCAGGGTTTGAGAGCTACAGCGAGCTACGGCTGCTAACCAAAAGGTCAGCAATTCGAATCCACGAGCTGCTCCTTGGAAACCCTATGGGGCAGTTCTACTCTGTGTTATAGGGTTGCTATGAGTTGGAATTGACTCGACGGTAATGGGTTTGGTTTTTTTGGTTTTAGGGGGTGTCTTAGTCATCTAGTACTGCTCTAGCAGAAATACCACGAGTGGATGGCTTTAACAAAGAGAAGTTTCATCTCTCACAGTCCAGTAGACTACAAGTCCAAATTCGGGGCATCAGCTCCAGGGGAAGGCTCTCTCTCTCTGTTGGCTCTAGAGGAAGGTTCTTGTGATACATCAGTCTTTCCTTGGGTCTGGCAGCATCTCAGCAGAGGAACCTCAGGTCCAAAGGACACGCTCTGCTCCCAGCACTGCTTTCTTGGTGGTATGAGGTTCCCATGTGTCTCTGCTCGCTTCTCTCTTTTATATCTCAAAAGAGATTGCATTAAGACACTATCTAACCTTGTCAATCTCATCAGTATAGCCTCATCACAGTGATAGAATTTACAACACATGATGAGATCACATATAACCTCATCATAGCGATAGAGTTTACAACACATAAGGAAATCACATCAGATTACGCAATCATACAATACTGGGAATCATGACCCAGCCAAGCTGACAGATATTTTTTGGGGACACAACTTAATCCATGACACTCCACCCTTTGGCCCCCCAAAATTCATGTCCTTGTAACACGCAAAATATACCCATCTCATCATATCACAGCAAAAGTCTTCACTCCAAGTCCAGAATCCAAAAATTCCTCTTCATCTGTGAAGTCTAGAATACAAATTATCTGCTTCCAAAGGAACAATGGCAGAACAGGCACAAGCTAGACGTTTCCCTTACAAATAGGAGAAATTGAAGGGAAAGAAGGCATAACAGGCACTACACAAGTCAGTAGAACACATTACATTAGACCTCAAGGCTTTGAAAATCATCCTCTGTTTTCTGAGACAATTTACACAATGGCCCTGCCCTCCAGACTCTAGGTAATTAGCCTCACTGTCCAGATTCTGAATAGACACCCCTTAGCCCTGGGCTTCAGCTCCGCCTTCCAGGCCCACTGGGATGGCAACTCTGCTCCCTCGGCTTCAGGCGCACCCTTCTCCTAGTCCATTGGAGTGACAACTCCACCCTTAGAAACACCAGAGGCCATGGCTCCCCCCTTTGAAACCCCTGAGGTCCTGACCATACCTTTTGAGACTGAGGCAGCTCGGTTTCTTGTGTTCCTTGTCTCTTCAGCTTCTGTTTCCTGTGGCCTCTCGGCTCTTGGGCCTCATACCCGCATCTGCCCTGCTGGTGCAAGTGTTCCAAAGCTCTGTAGCTTCACCGATGATAAGTGCCTGGAGGCACCCCACTCCGCCAGGAAGCCTATGCACAGGCACTCAGCTCCCTGCTCAGTGGGTCGGCAAGCCTAGCTCCACCAATAAGTGCCTAGAGGCACCCCACTCCGCCAGGAAGCCTCCTGGGCACAGGCACTCAGCTCTCTTGCTCTGTGGGTTGGCTCCGGCCCCGTCTCGCACTGGTCTCCTGCTGCTGTTTGTTCTCTGCTGTTGCTGGTCCTCTGCCACTGCTGCTCCTCTATCCATTCACAGTTCCAAACCACTTCCACGTTTTAGGTATCTGTTAGAGCAGCACCCCACTCTCGGTACCAAATTCTGTCTTAGTCATCTAGAGCTGCTCTAACAGAAATACCACAAGTGGATGGCTTTAACAAAGAGAAGTTTAATCCCTCACAATCCAGTAGGCTACAAGTCTGAATTTTTGGGAGACACAACTCAATCCATGACGGGGTGTCAAAGGAGGCCTGGTGGCACAGTGGTTAAGCACTTGGCTGCTCACTGAAAGAATGACAGTTCAAACCCACCAGCTGCTCTGCAGGAGAAAGATGTGGCAGTCTTCTTCCATAAAGATTACAGCTTTGGAAACCTTATGTTCTGTAGGGTCTCTATGAGTCGGAATCGACTCAACAGCAATGGATTTTTTGGGGTGGTGTCTAGAGCTTTCTGGGATGGGGACTCAAGCTGGGGGAGTGGGTTTGCAGTCTTTGATGGGTTTACTGCTATATATCAGAGTTTCCCCAGTTCCCTGGTCACCAGCCTCGTTTAGCTTTTTGATATGGTCAGTGAGGTCCCACTTACCAGGTGGATTTATTCCCCTAGTTGACTCAGTTATGTCAGGACATACTTATCGGTAACATTTTAAGACTTAGCCACTTTCAGGGATCAGTGATGTCGCCTGCTTTAGGCAAATTTATTTCCTTGATTTGATCTGTGAGGTCACCTTTAACCATATTTAAAACCTTGACCTCTTTGTAGGATCAATGAACTCTTTAGTTTTTAGGCAGAGTCCATCTATTTATAGTGGAATAATGTCATCGGTTGGTAGGCAGTTTCAACCTTGTGCTGTACCAGTGATGTCACCAGTTGTCAGGTAGATTTACTGCCGTTGTGGATTGAGTGATGCCACCAGTTACCAGGCAGACTGCCCCAGGTTCAGTGATCTCATCAGTAATGGAGCAGCTTTAACCTTATGTCTTTTTGGTGAGGTCACCTGTTACCAGGCAGATTTAGTCTCTCTGGTAACATTGGAGACATCACCTCCTTCTGTCTAGACCAGAGGAGCGGGCGAACTGTAGACTGTGACGATGGGGGTGGCTGCCAGGCCTATGTGCCCACTTTCCCAGCCCCTGTGAACACAAGGATGCCCATGGGAAGCTGCCAAGGAAGGGGACTCTGAATTTTTGATCTGGAAGATGTCCTCTATTGAAATAAATGTTGAGCTCATTGATCCATTGGTCACTGACATGAATGACATTACTAGTTACTGGGAAGATTTCCCCAGGCAGTCCAATGAACGATGCCATGCCTGGCAAGGGCCGCTGAGCACAGTTGTGTGATGTGCATGACTCAAAGACCCCACATCAAAGACCCCATTGCAGACCAATGAGGACCAGCAACAGCAGAGAACCAACAGCAGCAGGAGACCAGTGCGAGACGGGGCTGGAGCCAACCCACAGAGCAAGAGAGCTGAGTGCCTGTGCCCAACTTACATGTGAGCCTGGGTGGGTGGAAGACTCTGGGTCCATAGCCAAGTCCTGGAGTAGTTGGGGAGAGCTGCCTCCTATATGAACCCCACTGGCACTCAGAACCATGCACACTCCTTGGCACACACACCTGCATCAGGTGCACCTGCCTCATCCACACTTAGGCATCTCTTCTGCTTGTCTGTCTTGGAGGCCCAATTCTAAGACTGAACCTGACAGTCACTTCATCTGGGGGGCAAAGTGTGTGCCCCCAAGTGTCGGGGGGGGGGTGTAAGCAGGTAAGAGTGTGGGTGCACCACAATGGAATACTCGCTGTTAGGTGCTGTCAAGTCAGCTCCGACTCATAGCGACACTGTACATCAGAATAAAACCCTGCCTGGTCCTGGACCGTCCTTACAGTCGTTGCTATGGTTAAGCCCATTGTTGCAGCCATTGTGTCAGTGCATCTTGTTGAGGGTCTTCCTCTCTTTTGCTGACCCTCTACCAAGCATGATGTCCTTTTCCAGGGACTGGTCCCTCCTGATAACATGTCCAAAGTAAGAAGTCTCATCATCTTGGCTTCTAAGGAGCATTCTGGCTATACTTCTTCCAAGATAGATTTCGTTTGTTTTTCTGGCAGTCCATGGTATACTACTCAGCCATAAAAAGAACTGAAGTCCTGATGCATGCCACAACATGGAGGAACCCTGAAAACATCATGCTGAGTGAAATAAGTCAGTCACAAAAGGATAAATAACTGTATGATCATTTATATGAAATAAGCAAATATATAGAAACGAAAGCTTACTGGTTACCAGGGGTGGGAAGCATGGGAAAAGGAGAGTTTTTGCTTAGGGGGCGGTGAGTTTATGTTAATGGTGGTGGAACCATTTGGAAAGGAATAGCGAGAATGTTTGCACAACTTGAAGAATGTAATCAATGTCACTGAATTAAACATGTAGAAATTGTTGAGATGGCATATGTTTTGTTATGTATATTTTCACCATAAAAAGAGAAAGAATGTGGGCGCACGTGTGTGTACAGCCAGGGCTGTTGATGCTAGTCCCTGGAAAGCTCTGCTAGGCAGAATTGTTCAAGTTGAGTAATAATGCACTACTAACGACAACCACAACAAAAATTGCACCTGAAGAAGAAGTGTCTTTTTCTGACTTGTACAAAGCTGTCACACAGGCTAGTGGATTTTCTTGCTTGGCAGGAAGGCTAGACACTTCGTGGTGCCTGGGATTTTGACCTTGCTTTGTCCATGTGTGATGGTTAAGATTGTGTGTCAACTTGGCTGGGTCATGCTTCTCCGTGTTTTAATGTAGTCACTCCCATGATTGAATATACTGTGAGTAGCCAATCAGATGAAAGGGAGTCTCCTTGGGGGTGTGGCCCGAATCTGTATATAAGCAGACATTCTGGCTTTTTGCTCTCTCTGGATCCTGCGGCTGCTTCCTGTCATCTCATCTCCCGTTCTTGGGACTTGAGCTGTCAGCTTATCTGC